AAGGAGCTATGTGCTGAGCAAGGCAGGGGGCTGACTGCTGCACCTGAGTGCCTGGGTGGAGGGTGTGTCCCTGTCCCCTAGAGTGCATATGGGGGTGGGTTTTGTAGCCAGTCCTTGGCACCCAGTGCTGTTGGCTGTAAGGACTGGGAGGCACCAGTTATTCTTGGACCCCGGTTGTAGGTGGCTAGATGTCCCTGATGTGGGTGGGTGAAGACCCTGCTTAATGGGCAGGGTGATGTCAAATGTTGTGAATCTGCAACTCCCCCTTGGCTACTGCTGTTGAAGATAGGCTTCAGGTGTATGCCCTGTTGTTATATGCTAATAAGGGCCTGCGGTGTTGAATTGGCCCACACAGGTCTAGGCAGGGGTAAAGGGCACTATAAGTCTGTGGACCCCTTATGCCAGTGCCTAGGCACAGAGGCAGTGCCTGCCCTGAGTTCCCGGCTTAGGGGGCATGGCAGTTTTTTAAAGCCACGAGACTAGTTTGGGTGCAGATAGTCCTGAGTTCCTGGCTTAGGGGGCTTGGCATTTTTTTTTTTTTTCTTTTTTAAAGTTGTGAGACTGGTTTGGGGCCGGATAGCCCTTAGATCAGGCTTAGAGGATGTGGGCAGTTGTTGAAAACTGCTGGACTGGTGTCGGAGCGGAGCAGGGTCGAGGGTGTGTGAGGGGGAAAAAGGTGCTTCTCTGCTGTGAAAGTCCTGGAGGGGAAGGAGTTATTTTGACCCCATGTAGTAGATTAGATGCTTGCAATTACCACAGATTCAGTGCCAACCCCCCCCAGATCTAGAGGGTTGTGCAGACTTTCCGCCACCCAGCCTCTCTGACGTTGTGAAATGTGTCCTGAGTGCTACTGCTTGCCTCAGCCAGCATGCGCCGGCTGACCCAGTCAGCAGAGTACCACCAAGCTCATGACTAGCACTTCTTTGCTGCTTCTGAACTGTCTCTTCTTCCCCTTGCCATTCAGTCTGACTCCTCAACTTTGTCTTTGATGATCAGGGCTCCTAGATTGTCATATATAATCGATTCACTTGTTTTTTCGGGTCTTTGTTGTAAGAAGGACAACAGGAAGCATCTGACTCTTCTGCCATCTTGGCCCTGCCTTTTCAATAGATGTATTGTAGATGGCCACTTGCAAGCTTTTAAGACCCTAGATGCTACTCACCAAAGTAGGATGTGGAACATTTTCATTATGAACTGTGTTATGCCAATTGACCTAGATGTCCCCCAAGACCGTGGTCCCCAGTCCTCAGCCCCAGTAACTCAGTCCCTCAAGGTGTTTGGATGTGTCTAGGAAGCTTCTATGGCTTTGCCTTGGTCAAGTTGTACTAACTTCCTTTATATTGTGTTGTATTTCCCTAAACCAAAGTTAACACTTGTCTACTATCTAGTGATTTCATCTCTCCACACCTCCCATCCCTTATAACCATCAAAGATTGTTTTTTTCTGTGTATAACCAGCACAGTGTTAAATAGGAGTGATGATAAAGGACATCCTTGTCTTGTTCCAGTTCTCAGGGGGAATGCTTTCAGCCTTTCTGCATTGAGAATGATGTTGGCTGTTGAATGTCCCGAAAGCTTTACTCTATCGACATCATTAAGGTCAGCTCTACTTTGAGGAGGCAGCTCTTCCACAGTTGTATTTTTAGTGCCTTCCAAACTGAGGGGCTCATCTTCCAGCAGCATATCAGATAATATTCTGCTGCTAT